GCATAACTTTCTAAATGGCTTCCTCAGATTAACAGTACGGAGAACAGGTCAGTTCTTCATGTTGCTCTCCGTGCTCCAAAGGATGCAGTTATTAAGGCTGATGGAAAGAATGTGGTTCCAGAAGTGTGGAACGTTCTAGATAAGATCAAGGAGTTTTCTGAGAAAGTTCGCTCTGGTTCATGGGTAATTCATAGATGCCATTTTAAAACCTACATCTATCGTTTCCATCTCCATGTGTTTAGTCTTCTGCACTTATTGACAGGTTGGAGCTACTGGCAAACCGCTGAAAGATGTCATTGCAATTGGTATTGGTGGTAGCTTCTTAGGTCCATTGTTTGTCCACACAGCTATCCAGACAGGTGGATGCATTTATTATTTTTACTTGGCCACTTGCGGGTGTTCTTTCAAGCTTATTTTAATGCAACTTTTTTCTTTTATATGCATGTTCATTCTCAGACCCTGAAGCGTTAGAGTGTGCTAAAGGTCGCCAGCTGCGGTTGTAAGCACTACATACCTCTAGTTTTTTTCTGTGTTTCTTATAGCAAGGCTATGCTATTTTGAGGAATGTTCGTCTTGATCGATATGCTTGTCACCACGACTTATAGTTTTCCCAGGAGGTTCATGGAAATTCTTAGTTATATGTTTTCTTTACCATCATTCTCATAGACACTGACATACTCCTTGTTTATCTAAATCTCGGTTAACTCTGTACGAGAATGCTGTATTGAACTTGTTAGCTTCTAGTTATTCGTCGTTATATTTTCTTGTCTTGGGTTCATCCCTAGATTTAATTTTTGTTTCGTTTTGCAGCCTTGCAAATATTGATCCTGTTGATGTTGCTAGAAATATCAATGGACTAAATCCAGAAACTACCCTGGGTATATGCTCAATCCTATCAATAAAATCGCTTTGATAATTTCCATTTATGAACTTTTACTCTAGATGTTCCTGTGCATACTTGTAACTCTAGTTGTGGTGGTCTCAAAAACATTTACGACTGCCGAAACAATGCTGAACGCCAGAACATTGAGGGAGTGGATCACAGCTGCTCTTGGGTTAGTATTCCTCTTTGCTTGGCAGCCTAATCTCATGACTACACTCTTTCATAGCTGTGTGGCTATCCTCTTGCTTAGTAAGAGAATCATAATTATCGTGACGAGAGATGTGCTTCTCTCTTTCACTCCTCCTTTCTGGCTGCCCTCAATCGCGCAGTCATAAATTCACACATACATTTTAGTACATGCATGTTGTTGTTTTTTCTGTTTGTACATGTTCTAGAGGAAGTACCTGTGAGGCTGTGACCCCCTTCTAAGCATTTTTGGTCAAATGATCTCTGTTATTTTTATCCATGTTTTGGGTATTGTGAATGGCCATCATTCTTTTAACACTTGGTAACTTAACAGGGCTTCAGCTGTTGCAAAACACATGGTTGCTGTCAGCACTAATCTTGCGGTATGTATTCACCATAACTTTTTTTGGGGCTTTATTTCTTGATTACGCTTGTTGTTAGAAGTAAACAGAGAAACACATACTCTCGAGTCTTTCTGATTATGTGGGTAGACATGTTAATCTAGTCGTTTTAGAAACTGAATATTCTACCAGGTCTGATGGTAGTCCCCATGTTCCAGTATAGAAAAATGTTTAAACTCTCGATGTTTTGTTTAACAGTTAGTGGAGAAGTTTGGTATTGACCCGAACAATGCATTTGCGTTTTGGGACTGGGTTGGTGGAAGGTATAGTGGTAAGTTCTTGTCTGTTTGGTTGGATGATCTATTTCTCACCCATGTTATCCACTTACTTAGTCTTAAGTAAAACTGTTTTGCAGTTTGCAGTGCTGTTGGGGTCTTACCTTTGTCTCTACAATATGGCTTCTCCGTTGTTGAGAAGTACGGTAACTTCTTACTTCATTATCCATCTAAAAAAATGTCTTAGGCATATGCAATCAAGCGTATCTTATTTGAGAAATTTATTTGACATGAAGCGTATGAATAAGTTTGTAAATGTAGATGTTCTAACTATAAGATGGAAGGGAAGAAATTGATGTATATTCTGAAAGATGCTTCTTTTTCCTGAAAGATGCTTCTTTTTCTTGTTTCTTGATAAACTGCTTCTTGAAAAGAACGTTCTAAGTTTCTAAACCCAGAAGAAACCTTGTTAATAGCGCAGTTGGCATTCAGTCTTATTCTTTTCGAATTGCAGGTTTTTGCAGGGAGCTTCAAGCATTGATCAGCATTTCCTTTCCACACCATTTGAGAAGAACATACCTGTGAGTACTCTATAGTGATAATTTTTAGAATTGCTGATCCCCTTAGAATTGGAAGTTGTCCTCTAACGATGTGTATGAAAGCATTGGGTGTGACCAAATCTGCTTATACTCAGTTAAAAGTGTGTCCACTTATTTTTCAATAGAGATTCCCTTAATTTAGTATTGGTCTATTCAAGACTTGGCGAGAGGTTAAATAGTTGATTTTTGATGATTTTAGGTGCTTTTAGGGTTGTTGAGCGTATGGAATGTATCATTTCTTGGATATCCTGCACGGGTAAGTATGGATTTCTTTAACAGCAAACTGAAAATTTGTTTGTTTTCTTCTCAATTTCTTATAATTTGAAGATCTTCATCCTCGATCGACATATTTTCATTTCCTCAGGCCATCTTACCTTACTCCCAAGCCCTTGAGAAATTTGCACCGCACATTCAGCAGGCATGTGAACTGGGTTTCCCTTTTGTCTATTTAATTTTTGCTGCTTCATTTTTTTGGGCATAATAATAAAAATAATGTTAACGGAAACATTATCTGATTTTAGGTTAGTATGGAGAGTAATGGAAAGGGAGTCTCAATTGATGGTCTACCTCTCCCGTTCGAGACTGGTGAGATTGATTTTGGTGAACCTGGAACAAATGGTCAACATAGCTTTTACCAACTGATTCATCAGGTACTTTGCCTACGTATAATTTGATTTTACTAGAATTTTGGATCTTGTTTTTTGGCAAGTTCTCATCACCCTACAAGCTACTGAGGAATGCACTAAATCTTTCTGAATACTTTTTTAGGGACGTGTAATCCCTTGTGATTTCATCGGCATTGTGAAGAGTCAGCAACCTGTGTACCTGAAGGGTAGGCATTTCTGTACCCGTTGCTGTAAATTTGGCTTGACCTCTTTTATGGTTTCCCTTTTGAAACTTAAGACCAGCTCTGAATTGGATTCACAGGAGAGGTGGTCAGTAACCATGACGAGCTCATGTCCAACTTTTTTGCCCAGCCTGATGCTCTTGCATATGGAAAAGTAAGACATTATTTTTGTTCATAGGGATTAAGTGACTTCGGCATGACGTATTTTTGGTTCTTAAACTAATTCTTTGGTTTTTGCCTTTTGTAGACACCTGAGCAGTTGCAAAAAGAGAATGTTTCAGAAAATCTCATTCCTCACAAGGTAAAAGTGGTCTTGTTCCGATGTGATAATGAGCTTCTATTTTTCTCAGTTTATTAACTTGGTCAGGTAAAATGTTGACATTATTTCACAGACATTCTCTGGCAATCGACCTTCTCTCAGCCTTCTACTTCCAGAATTGAATGCTTACAGTGTTGGCCAGGTCAGTTCATATCCTTCCGGTTTCTCTTAAGATTGAGATATGAGAGGATCATTGCTTTTCCAAAATCCTTGAGGACAATGAAAGCCTGACATTTTTTGTTTTCAGTTGTTGGCAATCTATGAACACAGAGTTGCGGTGCAAGGCTTTGTGTGGGGTATCAATTCGTTTGACCAGTGGGGAGTTGAGCTAGGAAAAGTTTTGGCAACTCAGGTGAGGAAACAGCTTCATTCGTCACGTACTCAAGGAACCGATCTGGAGGGATTCAATTTCAGTACCACCACGCTTTTGAAACGATATCTCCAGGTATAATAAGTAACTACCACACTCTGCATTTGCAATTGTCGTTCATGGTTCTTCGACATCATAATTAACTAACACTCGTCTCAAATACTTAACCAGACAAGTTCCGAGCTGCAGAAGTGAAGTTGCATCAGCCGAACATGAATCATTCGAGCTTTTTCGCAGTCTTGTTCTCCTTCTAGCCCTACTCGATGTACTTGAACTGCCACTCGTTTAATTTCCGAATATGGGTACTAATAATCCAAACCACATAAAATCACAATTGGGAGTAAAGAATATCAATGAGCCATTTTTTTGGTAATTTATACTGCAAATTACTGAATAATAAATCTCCTCCGAAAAGTAAGTGTAACAATCTGTACTGATAAATTTATTAGATCCGAAATGCAATAAATTTGTATTGTACCGAGATCGGGACACAATGATGATATCTCAACATTGAGTAATGATATAAAAATGTGTAATGATCCACTCCCAGGTGGCTTTCTTCTCTGTTGTCACATCGAGAAAATCGTTTTGCCACCACATTGGTCTTGTTCGTAAATGTCAGCTATTAACAACAACGACCAATACACATATTCATGTTTGTTTTGTAAGTGATGGTTCAAATGACAACATTTCTACCCATACGTTATAAAAAAAAAAAAACAAACATGATTTATTCGCCAAAACCTATGAATGTTAGCGACTAAGTAAAGTAACAAATATGATTTGGTTGCTGCTTATCGTTGATTAAGCTCGAATCAATATAACAAAAGAGGCCATTCATTATCTCTAGTCTAAAACCAATAAAATAGATGATCTTAATCAAAAGCCACCTCTCTTGTTTTGCTATTCACAACGATGATCCTCTCATTTTCTCATCTTTTGGTCATCCCCAATTTGTGGAAACAAACAATAAAACACAGCCTGTACTAGTAGTTATCTTTCTATTATTTTAACAAACTTGTCACACTTTTCTAAAAAA